CCTCCTCCTCCTCCTCCTCCTCCTCCTCCTCCTCCTCCTCCTCCTCCCCAGATTCTCCTCCTCCTCCCCCTGGGCTGCCCCTCCGTGGTCCCAGGTGGGGTTCCAGGGACGAGTGGGTTGACAGGCAGGGCTTTTGAAGGGGTGCAGGTAGAGTTGGCCCGTGGTTCGGGCTACATCATCGGGCTTTCGGGGGCCACTTGGGGGTGGCGGGCAGTCAGCTGTTTTTTTTCCTGGGGTGGGTGAGGGAGGAGGGGCGTGTGGGTGGTGGGGTGTTTGTTTTATTTTTGTAGTTTATTGCCTGACCTCCCATGTAGGGGAGGTATGGATTTTGTAGGATGTTTTTTATTTCAATAAAAAATGGTGTGGTTACCTAAAAAATGGCGTGGTTACCGAACCCAAACCCAAACCCTAATCCTAGTCCTAGCCCTAACCTTAACCCTAACCCTCCCTTTCCTCTGTATCATGCACCTGGTATCATTAGGAGGCCCTGGGCAGGGAGCTGCCATTTAAGGACTCGGTCGCCCTTTTTGTGGCGCATTGTTGCATCACAAGGGCCATTTCAGGGGAGATGCTGGGTCTCTTGGACTGGCAGGACCTGTTGCATCAGCCATGGGAGGCAATTGTGTCAGTCTTGGAGTCGGTGGCTCTGCTCCCTCCCATGCACGGGCCTAGATGTCACCCTGTTGCCATGGATTAGGCCCAAGGAGAGGAGATTCCACAACCTCCACCATTTCCACCATCAGGGCAACACAGGGAGCCCATGCCCCAGAGTGGGGTTCTATGGTGGCAGCAGCAGCAGAGGCAGCTACAGCAGCAAATGCAGCAGCAGCAGCAATCCAGTGATTGGCTTGATGCAGGAGGGATGTTGGTAGGGCTCACCCATGCAGGAGTTCCCTCGCATGCTCCTAAATGTGCCGATGGCAGTGACAGCGTCAATGGGGATGGTGACACTCATGCAATGTCTGGCTCGTCTTGCCCATCAGGCCATGGCCCAGGATCCACTTTTTGGACAGCTCTGTGGAGCACCATGTAACTGTTGAACTACATAGTCCTGCAGTTGCTGCTAGCCAAACAGTGGTGGGGGTTGCCCAGAGAGGCAGTATGGTGGGCCTCTCTGGACCGGTCGGCGACCCATGTGGCCGAGGACATAGCAGGACGGCTGGACATGGAAGGCCAAAAGGGCGCAATGGCTGACAGGACGGTGGCAGCATTTTTGGCTATGGAAGTCAGCATTGGCCACCCCACCAATCATTTGAATTGAGTGTGGACTATTCCAGCACAATGGGGTCCGTTGAAGCCGCTGCTGCATCGCTCTGTCGACCATGAGGCATTCTGCCTCTTTTGTGATGGGCTGCTTCTGCAGACTGTTTTTTCAACAGATGGGCTTCGGTCCCTCCTCCTTCTCCTCCTCTTCCTCTTCCTCGTGATGGTGGTTTCCCAAGTGAGTTCCTAACGGTGAGAGGTTGGTGGGGGTTTCAGTGGGTTGATGTGTTTGGTTTCAGTCCATGCCATCAATGCCTGTTTGAGGGGTGGAGAAGAACCAGGTAGGTTCCTGGGAAGGAAGAGTCAGTGGGGGTTTGGGTGGGTTGCTGTGTTTAGTTTATGTCTGGGCCATTGATGCCTGTTGGAGGGATGGTCTGTCTTTGCAGGGTTCATGAGGGCAATGGGGTGAGAAAGGAGAGATGAGGGTGAGATGCCCTGTAATTTTACTGGGGAACTTTAGGGAGAGGGAGGTCACTGGGTGCAGGGTTCTGTTTCTGACTATGATGTTTTGTAGTCTTGTTCAGCAATTCACTGTTGTCGCCTGACCTTCCATTTTAGGGGAGGTCCATGGCTTCTGTAGCAGGGTCATTTATTAATTTTTTTAAAAATTGTAGTTTCCTAAAATTGTGGTTTCCTAACCCTAACTCCTAACCCCTAACCCTAACAATACCAAAAAGTGCTTTCTTGCTAGTTTCTTCCTCTTTCCGTACTAGTTATCTACAGGCTTAAGAGGGCCAACAGTTTCTCTTGTTAATACACTCTTGCCCAGTTCTCCAGTACCTGAGTCACTTCTGGGTGCAATTCAAGGTGTTGGTTGCCACCTTCACAGCCCTGCATCACATGGGGCCAGGTTATTTATAGGAATGCCTCTCCCCGGTGGTTTCTGCTCGTCCCACTACACCTGGCTGGGTGGAGATGCTTTGGGTCCCCATGGTGAGGGAGTGTCACCTGGTGGCCCTCAGAAGCATACCTTCTCTGTCACAGTGCCTGACCTATGTAGCAGCCTTCCCCCAGAGATATGGATGGCCCCAACCTTGTTGGACCTTGGAAGGCACTGGGGGTCGGCCTGCTAGTTCTGGAGTACTGACATGGGTGCGTGTTGCGGGTATCCTCTTGAGACTTTTAATGAGGGCTCCTTGACCTGTTTCTTGGTTTTTTTGGTGTGTATATTTTATGACTTTCAATGTTTTATACTTTTAGTTTGCCACCCAGTATTTCATTGGATAGATGGGCAGGCTTCTAAATGTGATAATATGATATAATCAATACAATATACACAAACTTACCTTTTATTTATTTACATGTTTATTCATGTAATAAATTTCTAGGCCACCCCGTTCCAAATTACTCTGGGGGCTTTACAGAATTAAAAATAACAAAACCCTAACCAAAACAACATCCCTAAAACAGCAACCATTCAGGGGACAGAACCATCTGTCCATATCCTAAATAACTCCTGGGACCCATCCCTCTATCTCAACCCAAGGCCTGAGGGGGAAATATGGTTTCTAAGGAATGCTTCCAGACAGGCAAGGTGGGAGCCACCCAGCTCTCCGGGGATGCTCGACAGAGCAGGTGCTGTGACAGAAAAGGCCCACGAGAAGACATTGAGAGGACTGGAGGAGCCATCCTTGTTGACACACAGAAGGAGACAGGAAATGCCTATACATTTATTTGTTTAATTTACAGGCTGCTGCAATCCATACAACTCCATTTTCTTTGTAACTTTCCTTAGGAGCCATCACTAGTTCGACAGAGAGACTACGATACCTCTTACTGAAAAGCAGAAGTATAACAAATGTGGGAACAGAGGTCTGCAGGTGAAAAAGGTAAAGGCTACCTAGTCAGAATGACCATCATTCCCTGATCACTGAGACTCAGTTGGGGCATTGGAGTCCAGTAAGACTTGATGGCCAGAGTTTCCCAATCCTTGTGGTCAAGTACTGGTCATTATCAGTCATTTTGCAGTCCTGCAAAAGTGAAAAAGGGACTTCAAAAATGCAAAAACAAATGCAGCAGTATAGCATCATTGTAATTTTGTGTGTTTCTCCCAGGTAAAAAATATTTTCTTGTATTGAAACATTATCATGCTGTCCTGGGTGCTATGTACTGTTATTAATTTGAAAGAGCAAAAGGCTTACAATTCCTTTGTTTTCAGACACTACAGACCAAGGGAGTTTATCAGATACACTGAAATCATCAAATCTTTCCCAGTTATTTGGAAAAGAGACCCCTCATCTAGCTTTTATTAGAGGATGCCCAACTAAATTGGGTTCTTTGATGTGGCAATACTAAATCTAAAGACAAATTTCTCTGCTCTATCTCCGAATTGATAACTTGATAATGAAATATATTCAAGGCATCTCTGCAAATCTCTTGCACTCTCTGGACTTTCTGAAATGAAAAAACATTTCTCCATGCCTGGGAGACATTGACCGCATCTCGAGAAGTGATCTGGAAGGCCTCGTTCTTCCCACCGATTCCTTGTCCATGTGTAATATTATAGATCCAGTTTTCAAGGTCCTGAGTCAATGAAAGATCTGCAAATTTATACATTGCAGCAATTTCCACTAGAGGATCTCGCACAAGGTCTTCAAATCGGAGCAATAAGTAACGATCCTTTAAAAACAATGGAGGTCTCTGAGTAGCCGTTTCATAGATCTGCACATGGCTTTTACAGATTTCCCTCAGGGCTTTATACTGGCCGTCATCCACTCTGCTGCCCACAATGATTTCATTGTCACGGGCAAGGCCTTCAACAGACTGTTCCCGAGACTTCGCAACAGCCCTGGGGTCCCGGACCAGGTGGATGATTTTGAGATTCAGGGAGGGGTCAGCGAGGAGCGGGTAGAGCACCTTGAGGTCAAAGAAACGGACTTCCTTTAGGACAACATGGCTGTAAGATCTGCAGGCCTCTTCCGCTTTGCTGAAGGGTTGCTTGCCACAGAGAGTCCCACAAAACCTTTCACTGGTAATATTAGTACGCTGAAAGAATTCACAAGCAGGAGTTGTGCATAATGCCCGGCTCGCGGCCCACCGGAACAAGTCAGACAAGTTTCTATTTCTCTTCCAAGGCATGTAGGCATCGAAGACAGACATGTCACACTTGAAGACTGACCGGACGAGATCTCGCACTGCCATCTGTAAGACCTTGGCGCTGTTCTGGTTCATGACTGTCCACACGTGCCAGGCTGGCTCCATCAGGTAGAAGACATTGGGGTGCTGGCTGAAGAGTTGCCCCACAAAAGAGGATCCCGACCTCCAAGAGGAGAGGATGAGCACGTGCACATGCACCTGGTCAGACTTTTCTACAGACCGAGGAACAATGCCACTGTGCTGAGCATATAGAAAGAGCAGAAATCCTGCCTGGGTCACAAGGATAATTGCAACAGGGGTACTGGAAAGGCGAAGCCTCGACATTCTGGGTGAAGCTGAGGGCAGCTGGAATAACAAGAGAAAGGTCTTAAAGCATCAAATCACGTGTTTTGAATTGGGCTTTGATTATTCGGCAAATTAAAGGTCAGGGATGGTACAACTAATCAAAGCAGAGTATTGTTCACCATATTCACCTCTCAACAGAAAAAGTGAGAAATATGTGCACAGACCACAGATACAAGGGCTATATAATAACACGAGCTGTTGCGCGAGCTGCATTGGTTGCCAGTTTGTTTCCGGGTCCAATTCAAGGTGTTGGTCATCACCTTTAAAGCCCTTCATGGCACGGGACCAGGTTATCTGAAGAACCGCCTCGCCCCGGTCATCTCAGCCTGCCCCACTCGATCCAGCAGAAGGGGCAGGGTGCAGACCCCACCAGTCAGGGAATTTCGATTGGTGGGGTCTAGGCAGAGAGCCTTTTCTGCTGCAGCGCCCGCCCTATGGAACATCCTGCTTCCTGAGGTGCAGTGTGCCCCCTCCATCATGACCTTCAGGAAAGGGATCAAATCCTGGCTCTGCCAGAAGGCCTGGGGGCCAGAGGGGGGCCCGCACCTGTGGAGATGGCTGGTGGGGGGATGGGTTGCCCCCCCCCCCCCAGCATCTTACAGGTTTTTTAGGGCTAAAATCATAGGAAGTTTTAGGGCATTTTTAATATCTGTTTTTTAATTATTTATAGATTGT